ATAAGTTTCTTAATTATTAACGATAATCCTTTGGGCATCAATATGCCAAGCACTGCGCTTATCACCCACGAGAGGAGGCGAGTTTGTGACATTTCAACATTTCACTAAGATGCAAGAAGAATCAGGCACAATCTTGTACTTTGCCTCAGAGGGGTCAACAAATAAGCATGAAGCCACCAAAGAAGGACATGGAGAAAGCCATCAAAATGGCAATGAAAGCAGCGTGAAGGGAGCACTAAAGGGAAAGGGTGTCAGTATTCTGGCAGTGTAGCCAGGCTGAGGTTGGAAGGAGGCATGATTAAAGCCTGGTTCAGAGAAAGGGAAGCCACGTGGTAACATTATTGTACAGGCAAAGGGCAGGAGTCTTCAGGTGCATGAATGACTGGATAAAGAACAAACATGGTTGGAGCCACAGAGCCGCACTGTGCCGTACCAGGTGCTGACGAGGTCGGGGAGGGTGCAGGTGGCGATGTCAGGAGCTACGCACAGGTTCTGAGCCAGATATGAAACGGGTTTTGAACCTGGTTGTTCTGAACAGCTGCATGTGGTATCAGTTAGCATAGAAAACAATCGAAACTGAAGAAATCTGCAAGAGGACAGCTCTAATAATCTAGCATTGAGAAACATAAAAACTGAACTCCTGTTGAGACATTTGGAACGGAGAAAAAGATCCTAAGAGAGGACGTAGGGCAGAGGAGCAATTAGCCAGGGCTCGGCAAAGAAATGGTGATGGAATTGGAGGAGAGATACTGCATGTGCTTTTGTTGTCTCTTGGAATTTTTGACCTGGAAGAGCCCTTAGTCCAATATCATCTTACAAATGAGAAAACCAAAGCCTAGAGAGGTCAGTGAAGAAGTTGTACCTATAGACTTACACATTGGCCAATGAAATTCAATTATGTCTGTATTTGGAAAATAAGATAAATATGTTTTAGGTTTCAGACACAGAAGCTTAACTAATTAATACGGTGTGTCAAGCAGAGCACTGGTTTTAAGCTTTTGACTGTTGCATTCTCATTCTAGAAAACTTGACCCCTGATCAGCTCTGACCCTTGATCCCTGGAGACCTTTGGCAGGCAGTCAGTTACCTTGCACTGGGGCTACTATGGATGAAGAAAATCAGATTCTCCAAAAGCCACTGGAAAACATGGTGGGGCAAAGGACTGGCGGGATCTCAGAGCTACACCCTGCTCCCTGGGGCTCTGAGATCTGGGAACAGTCAGGCTAGATTGGATCTTTCCCAGGATGTCCCATTCTGGTCTGGGTCATCTGGCTTCTACCCAGACTCACGTCAACCTCCACACTGTGATTATCCATGACATTTCAGCCAGCAGCATCTCCACACCACAGTTTATGCAAAAAGAAAAAAAAAAGTTAAGATCCTTTCCCAGGGACTGGGACCGCGTTTCATTTAGCTTCATTTAAAATACATTGTTAAAGCGATGTGCTCCACAGAGCTGCCAAATGCTATAAATATGTATGAAGTCGCAGTGGCCTCCTACACCCATGGAGAGGCCAGTTTTGGGATGGAAAACAGACAGGGGGAATTTTAAGTACATCCTGTTCCACTAACACTTGCTTCTTTTCCATTCTGTTCTTCCTCCTTCTTTTGCTCTCTCCTGCTCACCAACCGCCTTCACCCCAGCAGAAAAAATAATTGCTATGAGGGTTGAGCTTGAAGATTTCCTTTTTTTTTTTTTCGTTAAAGTGTTGCAAAACCTTAAAACTATAAGGGAATAACAGCTTTCCCCACAACACACAAACCCAGCTCTCCTCCGGCAAACAGGAAACGATCCCAGGGCTGTGGGCTCCTGAGCCAGGAAATCAATCTTTGCTGCTCTGGCTACCTTCCCCTCAGGTTCTTCCTGGGCATTGAGCACATTTAAAAATAGTAACCACCAAAACCAGAAGAAAAGATGATTTCATTGTCTAACCACTGCAACTTGTGGCCTGATTTGGGTGGTGGCAGAGAGGGAGTTGATCCTCTGAGTTGGCACCTTGAGAATTCTCTTAGGGTAGAGCTGGTCCCTCCCCCAAGATTTCAACACCGGGTGTCCCTGAGGAGTCAGCCCAGCGCAAGAGGGCGGCGTGTTAGGCAGAACCAGCTTACCACGCTCGTGCACGTGAGCACACACATTCGTGCGCATGTGCGCACGCATGCGCACCGTGGGTGAGGCAGCCTGTGGAAATGCAACATCTCCCCGTGGCCCAGCCTGTGTGCGGTGCAGGTGGTACCCGCCCACCCTGGCTTGGGCAGGCAAGGCTGGGGGCAGAACCTGTCTGCTATCTGAGCTAGTCACTCCTGCAGTGGTCTGGGGAGTGTGCAGCCTCAGCTGGCCCTGGCAGGATTAAGAATCTGTGGAATACGCTCAGATCCACTCAGCATAGGGAGCTGTCACAGTGACAGGTACAGAAGGGACCCAGTGGGCTTCTAAGGCTATGTGAAGAGAAGGACAGTTTGAGAAGGTACTTGAGGATCTCAACAGTTAATCTTGTTGAATAAAAGAGAAATCAGTTTTTACCATGAAGAACCTTGCTCCACCCCATGCCATGCCGATTAAAATCCTCCAAAGCAGGGGTAAATTCACAATGGTAAAAAGATCTACATTCCTCAAAATAGGTTTATGGTCCTATATTTTTAATTTGCCTTTTTTATTTTGAGACAGGGTCCCAGGATTCCTGTCACCCAGGCTTGAGTGCAGTGATGTGATCATGAATCACTGCAGCCTCAAGCTGTTGGGCTCAAGTGATCTTTCCACCTTAGCCTCCCAAGTAGCTGAGACTACAGGTGTGAGACACCACACCCAGCTATTAATTTTTTTTTTCTAGAGATAGGGTCTTGCTATATTGCCCAGGCTGGTGTCTAACTCCTGGCCTCAAGTGAGCCTCCCAAAGTGCTGGAATTACAGGTGTGAGCTACTACACCCAGCCTTGCCACTCATTGGGCAAGTGGGTTTTAAAAATAAGTTCTGTGTGCCTGACACCTCCTGAAGTGTTGTGGGGATACAGAAGAGATATAAGAGTTGTTTGCCATCTTTGAGGACTTCATATGTTATAGTTAAGGAGAGAGAAAGAACTCAGCTGAAGCAAACTGGAGACAAGGCATGCCAAGCATTCAGCCAGGAAGTCTTCAGTGCCCACGAGACACTGCTCAGGGGAGTACAGCTGTGAAACAGCACAAAGAAATGCCTGCTCTCAGGAGCTCATGCTCTGGTGGGGGGAGGCAGGTGGAATAATAAGTGGGATATATGCGGCATGCTGGATGGTGCTGGATAATGGGTAAGAGCTAAGGAGAAAAATAAAGTGGCAAAGGGGGATAGGAAGTGTTGGGGAAGGGTTGCAATTTTAGGATAGGTGACCGGAGGAGTTCTTCCTGAGACGGTGACATTTGAGTCAAAACATGAAAGATGCAAGTACGGAAACTGCATGGCCCAGGCTGGACAAGGACGATCGTAGAGGAGCAGATCGGGAAATAAGCAGAGAACATTCATGCAGAGGCTGAGGCTACATCCAAACCCTTGAAAGTTGGAAAGTCTTTATCTAGTCGGAAGAATGGATGAGAGAGACAGAATTGATATCATTACCTTGAAATTTGTACAATCCAATAAATGTTTTCTCTGATCTGTGTCTCGTATATTACACACTTTCAAGAAAAACAATTCTATTGCCTACTTATACACTTTGGGTGGATACAACAGCACTTGGTAATTTCTCAGGGATGTCTGGCAGTCCCATTACAGCACTGGGGACCGGGAGGCAGAATGGGGATGGGGTGTCTCTTGCTTAGTAGTGTCCACCGGGGAGGTGGCCTGGTTGGAAGGGTAATTGCTGGGCCCTCACCAGAGAGACATGGGGTTGAGAGGTGCTCAGCCACTTTCTAACCTTGTGACCTGGTGTGCTAATTTTCTTATCTGTAAGTTAAGAATATTACCTTATTATTATTCTTTTTACAGAGTTGTTATTAGGCACACATTAAGAGCTCAGCAAGTCATACCCATTATTATCATTATCATGCTATCACATAACTATGTGAAATAAAATGATGAGCTGACAATTGTTGTAAAATTTGTCATGAGTGTGAGGGGTGCTAACATCAGTCAAACTTATATTTGTTTCACTGCAGAATTGCCAGCCTCCAGTAAATGACTACATCGGGGACAAAGAGAAGCTAAGTGATGCACCCCTGTCCACCACAGTTCAGAGGTGTGGTTGAATGCATGCTCTGACCTGGGGTACCAGGGTGGAGCACTTTGAGGGTTTGGGGCAAGCCCTGGGGAAAGGAGTGAAGACGAGGTGGGGAGGAGGCAGGTGGGGCTGACCAAAGTGTAGGTCTGAATACGGCATCAGCCTCCAGGCCATGAGCTCCTCTGAACCTTCTTAATAAAAGGTGCTAGCTCACCAGCGTCATGGGCTGTTCATCCATCCTTCCCTGGGAAGTGTCACTCAGGAGGGGACCTGGGGAGAGCTGGCACTGGGACTTCCGCTTCCCCGTGCACTATCTCTTTCCCTCTTACTGACCTTGACAGTTCACCCATGCCAGTGCTCAAAAGCTTATGATAAAAAAAAAAAAAAAAAAAAAAAAAAAAAAAACCTGATAAACCTGATGTTGAAGCTGTAAGAAGTTTCAGGCATCTAAAACTGGTCTGGATTAGGCCTGGGGGAATCCTGTGGTCGGTGAGTCAAGAAGGCCAGAAGGCCATCGGAAGATTGAGAAAAGAAGCGTGGGCCTGGAGAGAGCCGAGTGTTTCAGAGTAAATGAAAAGTCCATGGCGTGTGCTAGAGGCTCACACTCTGGGTGGCAGGAAGACCAGACCTGCTGCAAATTCCACAGGCGGCTTCTTGAGTGTTTACGTCACTTTGCAATGTTGTGCTCATCACGCGGAGCTCTGGTCTCCCTTTCAGGGCAAGGGACAAGCCAGGCTGTTCACATGCACAATTGTGTCCATTGCTGATGAAGGTTTCTCTTGACTTCCCACAGATTTAATGGGCAGGCATTCAAATACTTGCTGATTCACTGATCAGCAAGGCAGTAACTAGGGCTTTTTAACACTTAATCTATTTTTAACCTTTATTAAACACGTATTACGTGCTAGGCACTGTGCTTTACACATGTCATCTCATCTTATTCTCATAAAAACTTTATGATACATGTACCCATATTTGTTTTTCAGGGAAGCCTCAGAAAGGTTATGTGATATGCCTCTCTGAGGACCCAGATTCAAATTCTCCCTGGCACCAATGGTTGTGAGCTTGAACACAATGAAATCCCGACTCAGCATCCACCAGTGTTTAATTTTTGACTTGTTTATGTCTATAAAAGTAGGTTACCAAGGACAGGTAGAAGTAAGATCTTTTGGTGCTAGTAGGATAAGGAGATAAACATATTTATAGTGTGTTAATGCTAGAACCAATCCATTTTCACAATCTTTCATTTACTTATAAATTGATTTTGTTCAATAAAAATAATAGAGCACCTCTATGCTAAAGCATGACTGGCCATTGCTGAGGGTTCAGAGATGAAAGATCATTCCTGCTTTCCAGATCTTGCTGTCTCCTGGAAACAGGGAGACAGAAAAGTGAATATTGGTAAAGTCAGGTGTACTTAGAGGCTGTGGGAGCTCCCAGGAGGAGCATCAGATTCACACTGGGGCTGCGGGTGTCTTCCTGGGGATGCTGATGCCCAGGCTGAGTCTTGTAGACCAGGCCAGACAAGGGAGAGCAGGCCAGGGAGGGGGAAGGGCATTTCATCAGGGCAGGACATGGAAGGCTTGGAGGTTCCAGGCTCAGGCACAGAGAGAGTTCAGTATGGCTGGGACATAAGGCAGGGAGGAGAGGGTGACAGGCTGGTTGGTGGGTTTGAGAGATAGGGACAGTCAGACCAGGGAAGGCCTTGTGTACTGGCCAAACAGTGGGTCCATATCCTAAAAACAACGGGGTGCCGTTGAACAGCTTTCTGTGGAGGAGAGACTTGGTCGTTTTAGAAAACCACTCCAAGAGCTGGAGAGGGGAGACAGGCTAGGAGGGAATGAGAGGGTCCAGGGCAGTGAGCGGGGAGCAGGCTCAGAGGTCTTGATTGGGGGAGACAGCTCTCGACACTCAACTGCCCTCCATCCCAAATCAGGAAATACATGGAGTGCTTTTGTTCTCAGAGCATTGTCATATTTAGTTCAAATTGGTATTTCTATCTGTTTACATCCAATGCTCATTGATTATAACGAATAGTCTACAAACCGCAGTACTGGGAGCCTCAGTGGCGGGTTCTGTTCAAGGTCTCTATATACGTCGTGTCATTTCATTTTCCTATCAGCTTTCTGGGGTAGATTCCATTATCTTCACTTTACAGATAAAGAAGTTGAGGATCGGAAAAGTTAAGAATTTGGCTGGAGTTGGAGATAGAGAGTGAAATAGTAGACACTGGAGACTCAGAAGGTGGGAGGGTGGGAGGGCAGTGAGGGATGAGGAATCACTCAATGGGCATGATGTACAGTATTTGGGTGATGGTTACACTAAGTGCTCAGCTTCACTGCTATGAAATATATCCACATAATAAACTGCACTGGAATCTATAAACAATGCAAATAGAAAAAAATTTGTCCTTCAAAGTGACAAAGCTGGGATTCCAACCAAGCATGGCATTCTCAGTGAGGTGCCATCTTGGGTTTTTGTATTTGTTTTGAAGAGGGTGAATTCCTCCCTTCTTCACCCATATCCACACTTTGTAACTGTAGGTTAGCAATCCAGGTTCTTTAAGAAATTCATTTTTGTATCTTCAAATTCTCCTAATTAAATAAGAGTCAAAGATTGCATCAGGCACTAAAATGGAGGTTTTGTAACTTGCAAAATGTTTTCATCCATGTTGCCCTTGCTGGGTCTTCCTATATTCCACCAAGCTGGGAGAGACATTATTATTTCTATACTATTGATGAGGAAACTGAGGCAGAGAAGCAGACATCATATGAGTAAATGGCACAGCTTGGCCTCCATGCTCTGAATTTATCCTTTGCCTTTTGTTTTTCTCTGACTACACTCAGGTGGCAAATAGTATCACATGAACATTCTTTGGTGCATAAAACTGGGAGAAAAATGCGATTTGAACCCCTGATTGTTTCTGTCTTCGAATCCAATGCAACTCATTCAAGAAGCACTGGGTACCTAAAGTGTCCAGGCACTGGGTGTTCAAAGATGCTCGGCTCGGCTCTTAGGGAGCAAGTGGTGCACAGAAGGAGGGACCCAGGGGAGCCGAAGGTGCAACAGGGTGGTAAGTGACATCCTAGAGGTGTGGCCAGAATGAGCCAGCTCCTGGGGTGGGGCTATTCATTCTGCCTAGGGTGAGGTGGAGGGAAGGGATGGCCTCACAGAGAGCTGGCTGTGGAGGTAGAACAGCATTTCTGTAGGGAAAGAAGGGCAGGGGCAATGACAACAACAGGGTCACTGGTTAAATCCTCACTATGTGCCAGGCCCTGTGTTAAGAACTTTAGAGATATTATTCATTTGCTACTCTCAGTAACCCTACGAGGCTTCAACTAGTATTAGGCCCATTTTATAGATGAGGAAACAAAGGCTTAGGGAGGATTTACACAGAGGCAGTCTGATTCCAGCTCATTCTCTCGACCACTGCAACGCAGGGCAGGCACTCAAGCTAGAGAACAGAGCTAGGGCAATGCCTCAGAGATGTAAAGATGCCCAGCTCACTCAAGGTGCAGGGTGGGTGCAAAACGGGAGGAGGGCAGAGGCCTGAAAGGGGGATGGGGCCAGTGTGCAATGGGCCTTGCATGCGTTTATCTTCCCATCAAAGTTAGATAGCAGTCATGTGATCCAATCTGATGGGGTCTGTGTTTCACCTAGATATGGTGCCACAAACTCAGTGCCTGCAGGGTCCAGCTCCTGGGATAGGGTTACTCATTCGGCCTACGGTGAGGCCCATGAGGCAAATGAGGGAAGCAGGCCAAGTGAGAACCAGGGGATGTTCCTGCGAAGGCAGCAGGCTCCAGGCCTCCAGCTCCTCTCAGCTGACTGCAGCCACGTGGGAAGGAAGTCCGTTTGTCGCCAGTCCCTCTCATTTTTAAAAAATCTCGGCAAATCAAAATTTTATTTGAAAAATCCTGATTTTAAAATATAGGAGATTAATTCAGATTACTTTTTAAGAACACTTTCAGGACCAAACCAACCATGAGTGTGGGCTGCTAGTTTGCTACTGCTTACATGGAGGATGAATTGGAATAGGGAGAGCTCAGAGGCCAGGGGCTCAGTGTCAGGAACCCATTCTAACACACTAGACAGAGGAGGAAGACTGGAGCATAGGCCACAGCATAGGGAGGAAGATGAGGGATCAGGCCTGAGATAGGTCTTAAATAGAATTAACAGTGTTACTTAACTTTGGATGTGAAGAGTGGGAGAGGGAGGAGTCAAGGTTGACCTGGTGGAGATGGAGCCGTTCATTCAATTAATTTTTGGACAATTATTTATTGAGTACCTACTATATCCAAGATACGGCCTGAGGAGCTGACATATCACAAGGCAGAAGACACGATACCTTGCTGTGAAGAAGCTCCAAATCTAGTGAGAAGGTCTGTTGAAAGATAAGGACTGTTGGGAGATTTGGGGGCATGTAGGAAGAGCAACCACCCTAGCCTTAAGCAGCAGGGTGTTAGGGAAGGCTCTGCTGCTGCAGGAGAAGTGCAGGTGTGAGAGAGAGGGGCAGACATTGGATTTTGGATCTGTTGAGTTGAGTCTCAGCTACAGCCCTGGTAGTTCTGTGATCTCATACTGTCACTCTGTGATGCTTTTAGTTTTTTGACACATGAGCGTCCAGACAGCTTGCTCACTCATGTGACACATGCCTTTCTTGCGGTCATGCGTTCCCTGTATCCTCTTTTAAAATGCTTGGCACACATGTGTGCACGGCTGAGAGTGTAGCAGTGTCACTCTGGGTCCCTGCCCACTTGTCATCCATCTTAGGTGTTGCAATATTTGTAAGGCGAACCTGGGCTGGTTTGTTTCATTTACTCATTGCTGTTGTGGAGAACTGTTTCTCTCGGTATTAAGATCGTTGTATGGTGGATTAATTATGAGGAAGACACCCTGTGCAGTTCACCACTCCACCTCCTATCTGAGAGTGCCACACATTCTTCATCCAAACCCGGGCAAGATTTTGCTTCAATCATTGAACACACATTTTTTGGGCATCCACCATGTGCCAGGCACTGTTCAAGGTATTTGCGATGCATCGTGAACAGAGCAGGACTCCTACTCTCATGCAGCCTTGCTTTCCTGCAGTCTAAATGATTTGTTCATGTTTATTTCTGTGTTGCTCTTTTGGGGTGTGCACAGATGTGTGGCCCCCTCCCAGCCAGGAGAATGTTCCCACCTGTTCCCTCTCAAGTAAAGCTGTACCCCTCATCTGAGACTCCATTCTGATCCCCTGTATGGATTGTTTGCAGCATGGCAGCCCCTTATCTTGGCTGTTGAATCTCCACTGTCCCAAACAGAAGCTTAAATACTTTGCCCAAGTTCTAAATATTGTTCCTCTATATGCTCTGAAAGCCATTTATGTTCTCTTTTGATAAGAAAATTTAACTCTATCCTTAAACCAGACCCTTTATCACTCCCATTGACCTCCTTACCAGACGCATACTTTCTGTCATAAAGCCCTTGTGGTCTTTTGTTCTCTGTCCTCAGCTGAAAGTCCTTCCTGTGGGAAAGCATCCAGACAGACCCAAAAGGGGCTTTGAACTCAGGCTTGAGCTGGTACACTGGTGTGGATTTGGCAGGGCAGGATATTCAAGAAAGCTTTTCTAGGGAGGTTGGTTTTCACCAGGTCACTTGGCATGCAAAGATAATCTGGGACGAGGAACTGAGAGGCCATTGCAAGGGTCATTTGGTCTGGGTGAGTTCCCTGCTCAAAGAAAAATGGTGCAGAGACCTCTCAGACTCATAAGCTGCTCTGTGAAGGTCCAGGAAGCTCTGGCTTGAATTGCTACCTACTGCAATAGTAAAAACAAAAAACAAAAAAAC